CCAGAAAACTATAATCACCTAGTATCAACTCCCAAACACAGGAAATAACACCAAGGGTGTGACAGAATCAGACATGGCAACTGGAAAAGCTAACAGTGTATCTAAGAGAGCAGCATCCAAATATAACTAGTCCCGAACTGGGAGAAATCTCAAAAGCCCTACGAGAAGTGAGGGAGGGCTGGGAGACATAAATTTAACCACCAGGAAATTAGTCATGAGCTTGCAATACTAGAGCAGAAAGAAAAAACTTCACAAAGCGCTGTTTTTGGAAGGAGCTCCAGAGGCTGACATCCCAGGTCAGGGCCAGTGTTGCATCTTTTGCCACAGACATGAAAACAGCACCTGCCCACAGATGTCCACGTGTCCACATGGCAGACAACTGAGGATGCACAGGAGGAATCATGCAGAAGGGTGGCAACAGCCACTCAAGATGGAAGGTAGCAACTTGAAAAGACTGAATGACTGCTGAGGACGCCCCAGGGATGGAGGTCACCCCAGTACAGTGCTTACACGGAAAGCAAAGCTCTCCCTGAGCCACGCCCGGGGCACAGGCATCCGGAAGCCATCTGCTGAGCATGGCAGAGGCGCAGTGCAGCAGGCCGGGGTCGGCACCACTGTGGGAGGCCCGGGGCCAGGGAACGATGCCTTTCAGCGTCCCTGAGATGCAGCCTCTCACCGCAAACCCCACCTGTTTCAGGCAAGTGAGGGCAGGAGGAAAGTTCAGACGTTCGCGTGAATTACGGAGAAGCTGCAAAGGATCCTGCATCTCAACGTGAGAATAAATGAGGACCCGGAGGCGGAAGGAGCAGAAAACAAGGTCAGAGAAGGAAGGTAGGGATCACACCATTCAGCAGCAAAAAAAGCCTTTCTTAGGAAGAGCCTGAACACAAAGCTGGGACTGACCAGGGTGAGAGGCGACCTCTGAGGAACAGCAACATGCCCAGTGGTACAAGTAACCACAACCACGCAGACCGGTCAGGCCTGCCCTGCGAGGCTGTGCTGGCTGCACCCTGCTCAGACGCCTCCAGCTGATGGGGTCAAACAGGGGCTGAAGTCCAGTCCGCAAGTCCTGAGCCAGGTGCCTTTCTGGGAAAGCCATCTCTCCACGATTCACACAAACGCATCTTAAATGTTAGAAGTGGGAGCGGAGGGAGGGGTTACACGTGACAGGCTCTCCTCCTTCATTATAATCCAGCTATTAGAAGTGAAACAGCTGCCCACAAAGCAAGTCTCTAAGGTGGAACTAAAAAGGAACTGGAAACAGAGCGAACCTGGCTAAAATAAAAGGAAAGGAAACATAAAGCTCCCGCCCTGCCTGGCCAGGCGTGGCTCAGCGGCTGAGAATCGACCTAGGACCCAGGAGATGGCGGTTCGATTCCCCTCAGGGCCGTGCAGGAGGCAGCCGGTCAATGGCTCTCTCATCATTGATGTCTCTCTCTCTCTCTCCCTCTCCCTTCTTCTCTCTGAAATCAATAAAGATATATTTTTAAAAAGCTACAGCCCTGAAAGCAAAGACAGGCGTTCTGTGTGAAAACCGCATACAATGTAGCCCTGCATGGGGTCTTGGAGAAGGTGAAGGTTCCACCTCATTTTTTCTGGACTCAACTCTGCCTTTACTCGGGGTGACCATGCGGCCATCAGGGTCATCAGATTTCACTTCATGTGTCTTCCCTGTTTCTGGGAGTCCACATGCCCTTGTGTGGACCAGGTCAGACAGCACAGTGCAGCGGGGAAGCCAAAGACTTGTGTGGAAACCACAGGACTTCAGTGAAAATTCCAAATTTTACCACCTACTCTCTACATGGCCATGGGCAAGAACTCTCTCTGGACCTCAGTTGCTAAATCTATTCAATGAAACCCATTATCGCCACCTTACAGGTGATAAAACTGAAGAAGTGAAGTGACTTACACAAGGTCACCCAGTTGATTGATGAGCACTAGCCTGGCCCCGTCAAAGCTCATACAGGGTCAGAGTCATGGCTGGGTGCCCCTGTTCCGAAACTCAACGGGAACCTCTCTCAGTTATCCCAAGTGAACAAGTACACGAACACGTGTAACAAATGAAAGCTTAATGTCTCTGAGGACAAATGCAGCTTTCAGCCTGTGCAAAAGAAAATGAGACTGATAATAAATCACAGTAAACTTCTTCCTAAATGATCCAAATTGGCTTAATGTTTGGGGTGTGTACTTTTGAGCATTTCTCATAAATATATTATTTACAAATGCTCATAAGTAACTTTCCACAATATCAACCAAAAACTAAGTTAACTTTAGGGCTTAGAGATCATTAGTAATAGAATTTTAATTTACATAGTCAAAGTCCCCATCAAATTAAAAAGTGGATTCTTCCTACAGTGGAACTGTCTTGATTGAACACGTTGAAGCTAAAATTGTGCAAAACCCAGAAAAGCTCAGGGCCCCTTAAACAACAGAACTTTGAGTAAGCCCAGCTGTCAGCAAGCAGCCAGGTATCTTTTGTGGACCAAGTTCTTGTAAATTGAACAAACTAAAAAAGATGTTACCATTCACTGAAGTGCAGAAGAACGTATTTAAGCATTAAGACCTAGAGAGCAGAGTCCTCCATTGGCGGAGGAGGGTCTTTTGTTCCTAAGATCACTTTCAGAGGCCAGAGGAACAGAGCAAGAAAAGGGTAACCTGCGTTTTTAAAGATGGACAGGCGATATATTAAAAAGCAGCATGACAATAAATGCATTCACACACAATTAGTTAAAAGCACATTAGCATAAAGTTATAAAAATTTTTTGGTATAACTGTTTTGATCCAAAAATCCAACATAAAAACAAATTATTTAAGGTATCAGTTTTTCACTTTATAAACTCTTGAAATTTCACCGAAAGTTGAAAAATATCACTAAAGAGGAATTCAACTAAGAACAATTTCCTATTTAATAAGGTAGGAACCAAGCTACTCATAGAGCAAAATTAGGTAGAATGTAAGGATTCTGATCACATGCATACATCAAATCTTAAGAATCATTATGTAAAAATGACCCCGTATGTGTAGAAAAAACATCTGTAGAAATACACATTAAATGTTAATGTGGTTACTACTGAGTGAGATGAGAAATGAAATACATATTGCTGTCGCTCTCAGGAATTACTAAGAATACAGTGATGTAGACAATATAATGCTAGTTAGAACGGAAAGAGGTGCAGGTTGACTTTATTTCCATCAGTTTATTACATATGAGAACTAAACGCAGGGTATTCTGCTAGGTACAAGGAGAACCAAGGTAATCAACAAAGTGAAAACCATGTCCTCAGAAAGCTCAGAGGTAGAGGGAAATACACGTTCCAACAACTAAATATAAGGCAGAATTCAAAACGTTCTGTGGTACCAACAATAAACCCAGAATAGCATAAGGGCAAGAGAGAAATTAATTCTAGCTAATGGAACTGGGGAAGCCTAGACAGAGATGGCCACTCCATTGGGCTTCAAAGGATGGAGAGATTTTTAGCAAGTAAATGAAAGGATCCAGGAGAAAGGAAGGAAAAAAAAAAAAAAAAAGCCAGCTCATATTCAGCTTTCACTGTGCGCCAGGTACTGTGAGAAGTACTTTCATTAATTCATTCAACCCTCATATTAGCCCCATTATGGAGGTGCCAATAATCCTGCTTTACAGACCAGGAAGCTGAAGCTTGCTCAAGCTCACACACTGGCAGGTAGAAGAACTGAGCTGGAACGCAACCTTGTGTTCCTTGTCACTCTGCCATGCTGCCCCTCTAGGCAAAGAGAAACCACTGGAACTTACGGGCTAAGGAAAATATGATGGACAAGGTCCCAGAAGAAGGAAGACACTTGACTTTATTAAAGGACTACCATGGATAAGCCTCTATATGAAGTGCTTTTTCTATGAAAAGTTATTTATTTTTCCTGTGATATGGTCACTATCACATCCATTTTAAGGATGAAAAAACTACGGTTTAAATAGGTCATTTATCAGGTCAAACAGCTATAAGTAGCAAAAGAGAAATTTAAACCAGGTCTGAGTCCAATTCCACGTCAAGCCAGACAGATAGATGGCTTTACAAGCGGTATCTCATTTAAGCCCCAAAATAACACTGTATGTCTGGTAGTATTATTTTTCTCATCTTACAGATAAGAAACTGAAGAATCAGATAGGGTGAGTAACTTCCCCAAGGTCACAGAGCTGGTAGGAGGTAGACTCAAAATTTAACCTAGAAGCTGGGCCAGAATTCTGACCCTATGGATGAATTGCCATAAATAGAGTAAACAAGACAAATCAGAGAGAACATGGAACTCAGAATCTCTCAGCCGTGCAAAACCATCGAGATTGTGGTCAAATTATGTTTTGGGAATAAAATCTTCCAACAGGCACATCAAAATTAGATTCTTGGCACATCTTTATAGTTTCCTTTAGAAGGTCATTTATGTAGCTGTTCAGCAGGCACTCGATTGTGGTAACCCTACTAACCTGTCAGGCCCCAACGAGGTGCCGTTAATATATCTTTTTACAGATTTTTTTTACACAGTGGTGTAGAAATGGCAAGTTGGGCAACTGAACGTTGAACCTGCTTTCTCAAAGCAAAACTGGAAGGGAGGAGGGCGGGGGGATAACCAACGGCTGGAATAGGCTTTAACACTGCATGTTGCCTTTTGGTTATCCCACAGGGTATCTTATACCAAACATTACCCCACGCTAACCACCCGAGGCCTAGGGCTGTCCACCTCCAACACAGGTTCAAAGTTCCCCAGCGACAGGCGCACTCTGACTCATCCTCACAGCCAGCATCAGTTCTGAATGAGTCCAAGAGGCCCCCAAAGTCCTTTCTTCTACTTTTCCCACCCGTGAGTCCCGTTCCCCCTTTCCCTGTCCCGAATTCCTGGGGACCTTCCCCATGCCACCTCCAAGGAGCCACTGCCAGGCCCTCCCTTCACGGGCGGAGCGCAGGCCGGCAGCTGTCTCCGGTCCTCCCTCGGCCCGTCTCCGGGCGCGGGGCGCGGGCCTCCCCACTCACCAGGTGCAGGGCCAGGGGCAGCAGCAGCAGGAACAGCCACAGGTAGAGGTGGCAGCTGTTGGTGAACTTGCTGTGCTCGGGGTCGTGGTACCAGCCCCCGGTGAGCGCGGCCCACACGCCCTGGCGGAGCAGCTGCAGCACCGGGGACACCATGCCGCC